GCTGGCTTGGGTGTATTCTCTAAGATTTGCTTAACTCTTCCACTCCCAAATTTTATATTTATTTTGACATAGTAAAAATTCATAAATGTTAAAACCACCAAGATGATTTCAGTTCGTGCATCCTCTTTTAAATACTGTCTCAGCCTGGGCCTGCTGATTTCCTTTGCTTAAGATCTCAACCTCTATCTCTACACCACCCCAATGTTATTCCCTAGAAAACTAGTGGACTGGTATCAGAGTGGAATGATACAAAACAAAGAAGACATTCACAAAAAACTTTATTATGTAAAGTCTGCTTGTAATTTGAATACAAAGGGTTTTAATAAGAATCTATTCACTGATAAATTATCCATATGCTGAGTATGGGCAAAAATGTTAGCCTAATAAAAAGAACACAGACATGATAGCCCTTGAAAGATGTAGAATGAAGTTAAAAGTAGAGTACTTCTCCAGAGAAGACCAGGGGTCACTTTTTTTCATGTTTATAATTTATAGTATTTTTTACCCTCCCTTTGTTTATCGATACATCAATCATACATCGTATTCTATCCCATCATGCTGTGAAATGTTTAGTTTATTGGCTGTCACTCTTGGGGAGGTTGCAAGACTTTCAGACTTGCTGTGAGTCTGTCACTGATGTCTGGCTTCACCTTGACAAGTATATTGGACTCTCTCAGCGTGTTAGAGATCACAGAGTCTGAGAAATGATGACATCCTTCCTGAAGAAGATAAGCGGGTAATGTAGACAACACATCATGGATCAACCAGTTAGACTCTCAGTTCAGTCCATTTTCTAGATCTAATGATATGTCCAGGTGATTGATTTTGGCATCAAAGTTGAAATACTTCTCTTTCTCAACTTGTTCTTCTCACATCATCTTCCGATGGCAAGAGCTGACCATTACAGATGCTGCCTTCACTAAAACTGGATCATTGGCTAAACTCCCTTTATCCTCACTTGCAACCCCCTACCTTGGGGTGTTTCCCAATCTATCCATGCTTAAGCAGACTCACAGCAGTTGCTTGGCCTGGTAGCTAGAGGTCTGTCTTAATATGCCAGTTTCTGAGCACAATCAATGGTTGTGTGCCCGAGGAATATCCAATCTGTTTAATTGTGTCCAGTGTTTTTAGCTCCCTTGTTTACTAGTCAAGTCACTGTGTCCATATGCTTGACTACATGAATCCATTCTTTTCTCTCCCCAGAACTTCTCACACGATCCAAAGCAAATAGCATCTTCCAATGGATTTTCCATTTTTTTTTAATTGGTAAATAAAACTACTACCTACAAAATTTTGCCTTTAAAGCAATAGGATACTTGCAAAAATGTAATGGAAATGCAAACAATTGCATTCTTAACTGTAAGCCATTCTCCTGAGTATGGTGTGTGTGATCTCTGCTAAATGATGTCCGGGTCTCCACTGCTTTCTGCACCCTCCCCACACCTCCTGTAGGTCTGATGGTCCTGGAAGGGCATGAGGTTCCTGCACTGTATTCTAAATGAATCTGGGCTTTCTTTCATTTCCCCTCAACATAGCCATTCACCACAGGCTTGGGGTCCCCATTAGTCCACAGCTGCATTGTGTTTGCAGGTGAGTTGGGACAGAAAGGTTCACTTACCTCTGTGTTACCCACCCTCTGCCTACAAGGGGATGCTCAGGGTTGCCGGGTTTGGTGAAACAGCTCTTCTAGAGTTCCCTGGCCCTCATTCTTTCTGGACAGGTTATACACCTGGTTTGCCTGATGGAGCCCAGAACCCATGGTTGTTTTGGACTTTGGGCCTCGTTTCTTAGAAAAGATCAGGAATCTTGTTCATGTCAGTGCTCTCTAACATTTCTATCATTCTTTTAGCCCACAAATATCTTTCTGAGCATGCAGCATCTTATGCGTATATATTTATGTATTTGCAAATTAACTGCATGAACTATGAGTCTATAATTTATATCCATGGCAAAGCTTATATAAATATAGGGATTTAAAAAAATGAGATGAAAAAGATTCCAAATGGAAGTTCTAATATTTTCCTTCTGCACCCACGTGTACTGTCCTATCCACTCCCCTGGTGAGCCCCTCCACCACGGGGTCTCACTCCTAATGGACTCCCACACCTCTCAGGTGAGCAAAGCAGGAATGGTATCTCCAGGAACTGTATTTTGTGTACTTTTGCCTCCAACCCTCAAAATCTGTGAGGACTACTTTGAATTGGGTTAGAGTCAGATGTGGAAACCGAGTATCCATGTGGCTTGGGGAGTGTCTCCATACCACGGGGTCCCCATTTGTTAACTAGGTGTCTGGGATAGAGAAGAGGCCACTACCATTTTGTGTGTGTGCAGTTTTTTTGGTAATGGTTCTTCATCCCCTCTTCTCCTGTTCCTCTCTGCTCCTGCTTCTCCTCCTCTACTTCTTCTTCCTCTCTTTACCTATTTCTTCATCTGAAGTCTCCAGTAAGCCTCTGACAATGAGGGAGAGTTACAGGGTGAGGCGGTGGTGGAGGGCGGCGTCATCTCTGCGTAAATGGAGGGAAGGTAGGACACACAGCATTGCTTTGGTCAAGTTCTGTTTCCTACTTAAATTATGGGCAAATTTTGAAAATGGTGTCCAAGACACCCTAAAACTTGCCTGTTCTTCTTGATCTGGTCTCTGCAAATCCTTCAGCCAACAGCCTTGTGGTAGCCATCCCAGTTTTAATAGCCTATAAATTAGGTACTTATTTGTGGGGTAAAGGTATCTCAGCTTCCCACCCGAGGCCTCCGTCTTTTCTTCCACTGAGAAAGGTTCGAGGTAATGGAATCATTTTCCAGAAAATATCTGTGTCCGTTATTCTGCTTGCCCTTATTCCAAGTGGGATAAGAATGGCTACTGAAGCTAACTAGCAAGACACATAGGCTATTTATCACTTCTGTAAAAATATTCTGTCCCTCTGAAAAACAAACTGAGGGTTCTAGAGGGGAGGGGGGTGGGAGGATGGGTTAGCCTGGTGGTGGGTATTGAGGAGGGCATGTTCTGCATGGAGCACTGGGTGTTATGCACAAACAATGAATCATGGAACACTACATCTAAAACTAATGATGTAATGTATGGGGATTAACATAAGAATAAAAAAAAATTCTGTCCCACAAATCTTCAAAAAAAAAAAAAAAGAATATTAATGCATAGGACCAGCTAAAGCACACACATAAAAATGCTTAGAGCAAAGACCTGTGTCACTCATTTCTTGTTATCAAGATGAGACGAGGGATTGTGTTTTCCTTCAAAAGATGGTAGCATTTCCTAAATCCTCATCTATTTCGTTGGGGGTTACATCATTTTATACTTCTTACAAGAATTTAGTTTTATTCTAATTAAAAACATGGTTTAGAAACAGCTTAAACTTAAAAAAGAAAGTATCCTTTTTATGATTGTGGGATGTTGTGGATGCAGGCATCTATAGGGAAATGATGAGTTATCCTAGTTATTAAATACTATTGATTGGACATTAGAGGCCATCCAGCGCCACTTTCCATAGTTCTGTAATTCAATAACATGAGAAAGTTATCACCAAGGGAGAAAATTTCAAAACATTAATAACATTAATAGCTATAATTCTGTAAAATATTTTACTGCCAGAGTATGTTTTTTCTTTTTTTTATTATTTTTTTTATTCTTATGTTAATCCCCATACATTACATCATTAGTTTTAGATGTAGTGTTCCATGATTCATTGTTTGTGCATAACACCCAGTGCTCCATGCAGAATGTGCCCTCCTCAATACCCACCACCAGGCTAACCCATCCTCCCACACCCCTCCCCTCTAGAACCCTCAGTTAGTTTTTCAGAGTCCATTGTCTCTCATGGTTCGTCTACCCCTCCGATTTCCCCCCCTTCATTCTTCCCCTCCTGCTACCTTCTTCTTCTTTTTTTTCTTAACATATATTGCATTATTTGTTTCAGAGGTACAGATCTGAGATTCAACAGTCTTGCACAATTCACAGTGCTTACCAGAGCTGTTTTTTTCTTAATTAAAAAAAAAAAAAATATATATATATACCCACAGAACTGACACCAACTCATTCCTCTCTTCTGAAAGAAAAGATTGGGACATTGTCACCCCAGTGGGTGACCTGAGATATTTAACCTTATACTTGACATCTGTTTATTATCTAGATCTTACCAAGTCAAGGGCAACAGGATTCTTATGACCAGTGAGAAATATGGAGTCTCAACTAAGTGCCCAATTTGGAAAATATTAAGTAGATGGTGAGATCTTTATTATTATAATGAAATGCTGATTAAATGTATAATTTCTTCAATTTCACAGATGTTAAAATGCCAATTCCCAAGTAATTTAATTGAGGTTATGTATATTTCAAGCACCAACTAACTGAAATATTTTCTAAGATTTCAAAATTATTTTAAGCAATGTGTCCTTTTTTAGCCTTAAAATATAAAGCAGACTCTGACTTCCTGAGTCTTAAGGAATGAGCATTCCTTAGAATTATATAAAGTATGAAACTTTCTGAATAGTCCAGAAGTTTAAGCTATCTTAGCTGAGCATTAGGAGTTTTTTCATATTCTGGAGACATACATGATGTCATCTAAGGATATTACCATATTTTAAAAGGAGCAAAAAGAAAAAGATACAATTATTTCATGTTATTAACAGTAAATATAAACAAGCCAGAGGATATAATAGAAATATTGCCAAAACTGTCTCATTTCTAAAACGGCTTCATGTGTTTGATACTGTGAATTGTTTGATTTAAAAATAAAGCAAGCCTCACAAACATAACACAAGCAGTTCTGGGCCAAATAATGTGCTGTCTCTACAGAATGAGTCCGATGTCTCTTTGCTGGTTCATTCCATCCTGCATTCCAGCTGCTGTAGGCCTCCCTACATCATTTCCAACATAAAGAAGTCGCTTTGAGTGTAGGGACTTGTCCCCAACAAAATAAAAAACGTGACCCCTGATGCTGTTTTACTAAACAATAATTAAAATTGGACAAATAAGAGTTCCTCCCTCATTAGATGATGGCAAAGTTTTGTTCGTTTTCAGTTTCTGATGCTTTAAACTGTGGGTCTGAGCTCAAGCTATTGAAAATCTGTGAAGGAAAGGATTTTTCAGGTTTACATGGGGTATCTAAGCCTTTTTCATAAATAATTAAAAAATACACAAGCATTTTCTCTGGGGAGCACAGCACTCCCCTGCACTGCCAATTTGCTAAGTGGCTTCAGATCCATGCAGGGGCCTGTCACTGGGTGGCTACTCAGGCTCCTAAGAGGGAGGTGAGCCCTCTGTTCAAGGGCTGTCTTTGGTGTCTGTGGGGCACTGGGAGGCCTCTGTGTGGACTATGCGGATCTGTGTGTGGGTCTCTGTATTCAGATCTTTTTCCAGAGGTGTCTCTGTGTGAAGTCTGTGTGGATCTCTGTCACAGGTCTTTGTGAAGTCTCTTGGTGTTGGCCATTGTGAGAGTTTCTGCGTAAGATCTGTGTGGGAGGTCTTTGTGGATGATATGGTTTCTGTGAGGGCTCTTGATGTTGGCCCCTGTCAGAGGTCTCTGTGTAGGGTCTGTGTGGCTTTGTGTGGGTCTCTGTAAGAGGTCTTGGTGTGGGTCTCTGTGGGATGTCTCTGTGAGAGGTCTCTGTGGGAGGTCTCTGTGTGGGTCTCTGTGGGAGTTCTTGGTGTGGATCTTTGTCAGAGGTCTCTGTGTGGGGTCTTGGTGTTGGTCCCAGTGTGGGTCTCCATCAGAGGTCTCTGTGTGGGGTCTCTATGTGGGTCTGTCAGAGGTCTCTGTGTGGGGTCTCTGTGTGGGCCTGTCAGAGGTCTCTGTGTGGGGTCTCTGTGTGGGTCTGTCAGAGGTCTCTGCATGGGGTCTCTGCATGGGGTCTCTGTCAGAAGTCTCTGTGTGGGTCTGTCAGAGGTCTCTGTGTGGGGTCTCTGTGTGGGTCTGTCAGAGGTCTCTGCATGGGGTCTCTGCATGGGGTCTCTGTCAGAAGTCTCTATGTGGGTCTGTCAGAGTTCTCTGCGTGGGGTCTCTGTGTGGGTCTGTCAGAGGTCTCTGTGTGGGGTCTCTGTGTGGGTCTGTCAGAGGTCTCTGTGTGGGGTCTCTGTGTGGGTCTGTCAGAGTTCTCTGCGCGGGGTCTCTGTGTGGGTCTGTCAGAGGTCTCTGCGCGGGGTCTCTCGGCGTAGGGCTTTCCCTCTCTGGCCTTGCACCGTCTGGCAGGAGAAGGGCAAAGGGACTTGCTCCTTCCTGATTCTGGCTGTTCCACCAGCATCCCGTCCGTGGCACTTCTCCCGACAGGAGCGTGGGGTGCACGTCTGGTTCCCCAGCTGCAGGACTCACCTGCTGGTGCCCCTGGGAGGACCTAGCAGCAGCCAGGCTCAGGCACCCTGCTTTGGGCCACCCTCTCCTGAGCTCCCGAGGGCCCAGGGCGCTCTCTGTCCTGGTCCTGCCTCCCCCGGGTCCTGGTTGCAGTGTCAGTGCTGGGCACACCCTGGGGGCCTAGAGGCAGGACCTGGCTCCAGAGAGAAGCTGCGGCAGAGCAGGCCTGCGCCCACTCCGCCCTGCACCCTGGGTCCCCTCCCACATGTGGGGTCCTGATGGCATGGGGGCAGGGCCATGCCTGCTGCCATCTGGATCGGGGGTCCCTCCTGGAGCAGGACTCTCCCCCACGCGAGCGATGTGTGGGGGCCCCGGAGGATGATGTTGGGCTGGGAACAGGCATGCAGGGGGCCCCTCCTGGCCTGCACCCTCATTCTGGACAGGTCCGTTCCAGCCGGGTGTGGGACAAACTCTATCTGATGACCTCCTCCCCCTTCGACTCTGGGGTAATCAAGACTGGGAGCCGGGCAAGACTTGCTACATGACCCGGGCCAGTCCCTTGGCCTTGGAGTCCCCACCAGTCCCCTGGGAGCTGTCCTTGGGCCACACAAGTAAGTAAAGGTCACAGACTACAAGTCTGTCCCGAGGCCCCCAATCCCGTGCAATCTTATCAAATTGTGCAGAAATTAAGCTTCCCTGCCCGAAGGCCTTGCTGCCTCTGGGCACCTGACCCTCTGTGTGGGAGCCTCAGGGGGCTTCTTTCCACCTGGGCCCGGCAGCTGGAGTGGGGTGGAGGCCCTGCGGCCACGGGGCCTCTACCTTGTCTCCACTGGGCCTGTAGGTGACAGTGGGACACCACGGGTCCTCGGTCGTCACACCAGGTATGGGCACACCATGTCACTCTGCCTCCTTCCTGGAGTCCCACCCTAGGTGGTGTCCCCCTGCCTCCCAGCCACACCCCTGCTCCATCCCCCAGAAGGGGAAGGGGTTGCTGGTGGGCAGGGCCCTTCACTCGTCTGGGGCAGGGCAGACTGGTCCACAGTGGCCTCTGTGCTCCCCACCTGCACACCCTCAGAGCCGTGAGCTCCTCCCTTGCTGCTCCAGAGCATGAGAACCGGGGGGGGGGTGACACTGAGCTAAGAGGGGCTCCCGGGTGATGTCAACCCAGCTTCATCGGGGAGAGAAGGGTTCCTGGGGTAGCTGTGCCCTACTCCCCCAGGAGATGGGGAGCAGGATTTCTCCCACCTCTGCACTGAGGGCCAACCTTGCGCCTCCAAACTCCGCGCCCCACTCGGACATAGGACTCTGTCTTCCACACGTCCCGGAGCCCGAGGGGGATTTCTGCCTCTGCAGACCCTCCCTACAGCCACACAAGTTCAAGGTAGAGAGAAAGCAGGAGAGGATGGGCGGAGCCAGATCCTGGCCTTGGTCTTGTTCATCTTGTCACGGAAACCGAAGGCGTGTGAGGGAGGGGGTGGGGGTGCACCACACGGTCCCCCTCCCTCCAAGGCCCCATGCCTTCTGGAAGCCAAAGCAAGCACTCGGGGAGAGCAGACCTTGATCCTTCCCTTCCCCCGAGCAGGGCACAGACAGAGGCCAGCATCTCTCATGAGAAAGAAACATTTATTTGGGGGAAACAATAAAAATTGTGGTATGAAGAAGCCATTAGCACACAAAGGATGTGCTAACATGAGAAGCAATAGACTTTCTTTGCATGTACTCAATTTCTTGAAGGAAAACTCTGCTATCAGGAAAGGTGTGAGAAGCACACTCTGCCTGATGGGATGAAACACATTTTTGAAGACTGCATGTTGGATAATGCTGAACATGACCTGAGACACCTGCCACCATCGGCCTGTGCTGGCTGGGTCTGCCTGGGGACCCCAGGTCCCTGGGTAGGTCTTCCTGCCTGCTGTTCCTCTCTTTGGTCCACTCGCTCTTCTTATGGCCCTTGGGGGTGGCTTGCTGACTGGAGGCTCTCTCTCTCACCACTCTCCTCTGGTTCGGGGAGGAGAGAACCCCGTGGCAACAGGAATGCCCACGTACTGGGGCCTGCAATTCCTTGCGCTGATTTATCTCTGAGGCACGAATTCCTTGGTGAAATCCCAATTTCTTCACCAGGACTTGTCCCACTGCTGTCACAATCGTCTGAGCTTCAACAGCCTTACCATCTGTAGCTGCTCTGCTTCTGGCTGGTACCTGGGCAAGGGCTGCTGCGGGCTTGCCTTTTTGAAGGGTACCTTCCAGTCCTTTGCTTTTTTTATTGAGATTAAGGTACTGCAGAAAGTTCCTCATCCTTTTTCTAAAGTGGCTTTCTGGAAAAATCTGTCCCTTTTCTGGCACGAGCTGGAGGTATTTGCTCCCAAGGCTCTCTCCTGTTCCTCTGACCTTGGGAGGGTGTCCTGTCCCACTAGCTTGGGAAGCCCTGATTCCCAATGGTTCTGCAGACTCTTCTTCATGCTTTTCTGGTTTGGGACTCTTCTGGTCCTCTCTCTCATTATTGGAGTCCCTCTCCCTCTGGCTCTCACATGGTTCCTCAACTTTTGGTACACTGGGCTCCTGATGCCCCTCACTGCAGGGGCTAAGGTCATGTGGCACCGGGGAAGCTGGTGTGTCTCCATTGTCATGTTCCCTCTGGGAACAGGGTGACTTGTGAGTGGTCAAGATGTCTTCAGCAAGGACAGCATTAGTGTGAAGGTCTTTCAGGAGCACATTGGTGTCACAGTCCTGGACAGGCACGCCAGAGGCAAAGTCTGGAAGGAGGATGTCACTGGGAGAATCTTGAAGAAGCACACCAGTGGTATGGCCTTGAGGCTGGTTCCCTGACTCTACCTTCTCTTGGAGCTCAAACTTACTAGCCTTTGTTTTAAGGCTTGGCTCCTTTGTATCTTGGGCTGTAGGTGGTGAGGGACTTTTACTAGTGCTTGGAGATCCTGATCTCCTCAGATCCACATAAATGGTTTGGTTATTGGCCAGCACACTGGGTCTTAAGATGACTTTCCAAGCAGGGGCCTTCTCAGCCTCCATTGCCTCCATGGACCCTTCAGCCCTTGGAGATTGGGACCTGAAGTTCATCTCTAGTATTGCTACCTTGTTTGGTGAGGCATGACCCCCACTCTCCTCCTTTAGCTCATTCCTGGCCATTGCTAAACTTTGGCTTGGATCCAGGTTGTCTTTCTTGGCCCCCATAACAGTCTTGCTCTGCAGGGTTCTGTTTATGAGGCTGAGTGTGGAGGTCTGAGAAGGTGATCTGCCCTTCTGTCCTGATAAAGAGGTCTCTGAGGACTCATGGGGGCCATCATCAGGTGAGGTCCCTCCCAGGCCCTGTTGGATTTCCTCCCATGCAGGTGAGGGAAAAGGCAGGGGAGTAGGAACAGACTCTTCTGTTATCCCCTCTCCTCCTGAATGAGGCTGAGGAGGTTTTCCCAAGAACCTGTAGAACTTGGCTTTCGAGTGGGCCCCAGATACAAAGGGGGCTGAGCAGGGAAAGGGGGACTGGGAATAGGGCAAGCGTTGAGCTTCACATAGCTCCAGATCTATGGGCTCAGAGGCTTGGACAGGTAGGTCCCACCTATGCCTCACCCGAAACCTTATGATGTGTGCTTCCAGCTTCTGCTGAGTATGAGGACTAAGGAAGAACAGCTCATGGGAGGTGTTTACGTAGGGTTTCCGATCCTTCAAGGGTGCTAGATTTCTGATTTCTGTGTGAGGGTGAAACTTGGGCAAAGCATGGTTGGCCACAAACCAGGATCGACGCACACTCACAGGGATCAAACCCTGATTGATCTGTTCCAATTTCCTGAGCAAATGAACCTTTAAGATTTTTTCTAGATGTTTCTTATCTGGGCCTCCCGCAAAGTATTTTCCTGGGTCACTCTTCAAGGTGCTTATCAAGGGTCTTACTAACTCCTTCTCAGAGTTGGTTCCTAGAACCTTCACTGGGTACCTGGCTGAGACCCTGGAGAGATCTCTTGGCGTCCTCTTCAGACATTGCCGTAGACCCTTACTAAAGTTCTTCTCTAGTTGGAATCTTGCTTGACCCTTCCTATGGGAACTTCTAGGGTACCTGGACCTGGTCCTCTGTGTAACCTGGCTGCTTTTGCCTTTAAACACAAAGGGCCTTGAGAGCCCCTGCTCTCCCTGTGCCTGACTCACCCGTGGGAATTCATCCTGAGACCACATCAGTTCCAGAGACAGTTGAATCCTGTGGGGCAGGCTACCTTGCTGTTTATCCCTGCTGAGCCTCCTTCGAAGGTGTTGCTTCTGGATATTAAAGATGATAAAGTCCCCGTGAAAAGTGGTAACTGACCTGTGGGCGTGGGAGGCCTGGTTGTCCTCTGGAAGCTTGGGAGGGACTTGGCTAAAGGATTTTGGAGGCCTTTTCACCATAGCGGGTAAAGTCTTCCCCCTTTCTTGTTGCTTCGGCAACAAGGGCTGTTCTACATGTTGAATTTGAGTTGGGATGAAGACTTGTGTCTTTTTTTGGGATGTAGGGCAAGATACCCCACCGGTCCTCCTCTGGGATGGGAGAGAAGGTGGTCTGATTGGGACAGAAGGGGGAAGGTGGGCCTGGGACTGGGGCAAGGTTAGCATCGAGGGTTGGGGTTGGATCCCAAGGTGGAGCAAGGGTGGGGCGTGGGAAAACTGTGAAGATATTTGATCCTGAATTAGAACTGGCAAGCACTTAGAGATTCCATTGAATAAAACAGAGGGAATCTGTAGTTGAGAAGAGTGAGTAGAGACCAAGGCAGTGGCCACCAAGGACTCACTGTGCAGAGAGGGGAGACCCCAGAAGAGCTGGCTGCATTTCTGTTGCAAGTGGTCTTCCAAGACCTTGGGGGATGAGAACAGCTGAGGACCGGCCAGCGGCTCTGGTTCGTCTTTCATGTTCCAGAAGGATTGCGGGGTAGTGGTGTTCTGCTCAGCACCCAGCAACTTCCACATAGTCCCCAAAGAGCCCACGTGGTCATCTGGGTACCACTGTTTGACAACTGACCCACCTTTTTCTTTCTCTTTGCAAATCTTCAGTTCTACCCTTTTAGTGATTGATATCTCAAGCAGCTTCTGGACATCTGGATTGACAAATGAGGGGTTATGAGTCTCTATATGCCTGTCTGTAAGGCCACCCCAGAGCGAGGTCTCTGGTGCATGGCAGGACACATGTTCTTGCTGGCGCTTGTGCTGTAATGAGCTAGGCAAGAACAAGGACTTGGTACATTCCCACCACCAGTAAAAGGATAAAATGGGGTAGCTTGCATGGCCAAGGCCTGAGATGGTTGGAAGGAGAGATGCCAAATAGGAGTTACCTGGGAGTAACCTCTTTCTGACTGTGTCAGAAAGTGGGATTTCCTTTAAGTTAGTTTGGTCTTTTTGAGGTTCTGCTGGCTGGGTGGAGGCCAGAGGTAGAGGGCGTCCTGTCAGAGGAGCGGGGGAAGGTGATGGGGCCATGGTGGGAGCATCTTCCATAGGCTCCCTGCATGGCTGATGGGCTCCAGCAGGCACTCCTCTGTGCACCTGCCCAGGGGCTGCTTGCTGTAAGAGCTGAAAGCGCCTCTGGTCAGAGAACCTCTCCAGGTGGCTGTGGGAGACAAGAGATGTGAGCCGAAGCCAGGAGCAGGGGGGGCCAGAAGGGTGGGCCCCACGGCCCTCCGCGCCCCCACACCCACTTCACAATGCTCCTGCTGTCCCTCATCCCAGGGCTTTAGCCACACTGTCCCCGTGGCTCCTCCCAGACCCCCAGAACAGCCCCAGGGTGCCTGTAGCCCTGGGCTCGCACCATAGACTCTGGGAGGAGCACCCTGGAGAGAAGGGGGAAGGTTCTTTACCTTTGCAGAAGGGAAGCTAGGCTATGAACCTCTTCCAGTTCTTGCAGGCAATCTCTGCAAGCTGGAAACAGAAGACTGCGTCACAGCTGAAGGCGGGGGCCCAGGGGTCTTATAGGAGGCTGAGTACAATGTCCCTTTAGGGAAGACCTTTGGGGGATTAGACTCAGGAGCCCCAAACATCAGTGTCCAAGGCCACGTGCCCGCACAGTGATAGCAAGGCTCATGATGGGGATCGCTTCCCCATTCATGACCTTTTGGGGGAGAAATGACCGGGTCACCTCACAGAGAAATCTGAGCAAAGCTGGGCAACTTGTCCACAGTTGAAGCTGGAGGTCCCACCTCCCAGGCCAGGCCCTGGGGCCCCTGCTGGGCGACACCTGTTTCCAACCCCTCGGGGCTTCATTCTGGCCCAGAATCTGGGAAGCGTCCGGGTTCCGCTCTCCCTCCCAGGAGCCCCTCCCCCCCAGGAGCCCCTCCCCGCTCCTAAGAGCCCCTCCCCCTCCCAGGGCTCTGTTTCCTGAGGGATGGGCTCAGGCCCTGGTGTCTTGGAGACGGTGGGGCTGGGCCCCCAGAGCAGGGGGGTCGGTGTAACTGGGGTGTGCAGGGCTGAGTGGTAGATGCTCACTTTTTAGAGTCCGCCTTTTCTTCTTATTTCTGTTGTTCCTTCTCCGTGGCTCCTCCTGATGCTGAGATGAGAGAACACGGGGAGGCTGGGACCCCACCCCCAGCAGCAGATGTTCACTGCTCATGAACAATGGGACCTCCTACATTTAACTAAGGGGGGGGGGCTGTGGTTTTCTTTCGTTTTACTCATTTCCTTTTCAAGATGGATAAAAATGTTTTCAGTTTTCCTTCTTTGAAGAATGTACAGAAGGATTTTCTATGTGAGAAATTTCTTTGTCACTGTTCCTCTGCTCAAGAAACACACATATTCCCAGACCTGTGGGCGCATCTGAGCTCCTTCACGTAGGACCCCACTTCCCGAGGCCAGAGCCCCACTCCAGCTGCTGCTCGGGGCCTCCTGGGCTCAGTACTGCCCTCGATTCACCTGAGACACCTGCCCCGGGAAGGTGGGTGGTGAACCAGTGCCTAGGGGCCTGACCTCTGCTAGAGAACGGCTTAACTGCCGGTCCTCGGCCACTGGTCACTGTGTTTGGGACATTGTCCTGGAGCCCTCCACCACACCTGGACTCCTGGCCTGAGATCTTTGGGTAGAAATCCTTGTGCCCCTCTAATTCCTGCCTAGTCTGGCTTATCCCTGGATGGATGGTGTTCTATTCTTTCCTGAGAATACATGTTCTATTCTTTCCCATCTCTCCATTAATTCAGAAAAATGGAAATAGTAATAGAAGATAGAATCATACTCTGCTGGGTCTGGGTCAAAGATTCCTTACCTTCCTGATGTTTCTGTGTTTCTTGTATGGTGGTAAGGATGGATTAGTCTTGAAGTAGGAGAGTAATAGGAAGAAGAGCCCCAGTCCACACAGGAAGGCAAAGATGGTTTCAATTGCCCAGCAAGTGTGACTGGAGCTCAGCCAATCATTAGTAATGAAGTTCTGAGTTAAGAGATAATTCTCCATCTCTTTCCTCTGAAAACCAAAAGATGTGGACCGCACTGCTGCCCTCAGGCAACTGAGCACTGGGCGTATACTTGCAGACATAAAACCCAGGGCCGCATCACAGAGCTATAGTTTTGTCACAAAGGAGGGAGGGGACAGAAGAGAAGCAAGCTGGACCACAGCCCCTCCCCCCACTCCCTGCAGCTCCATCCCTCCACCTTCCCAGGCCTCCAAGTTCCTCCCCTTAGCAGACATCGATCTCTTCTCTGTATCCATGAATCTGAGTTTTGTTTTGTTTTTTCGATTCCACATATAAGTGAAAACATATAGTATTTGTCTTTCTCATTTTATTTAACACATTATTCTCAAGGTTATCCGTGTTATCACAACGGTCAAGATTTCATTATCTTTTTATGGCTGAATAGTATTCTAGTGTGTGAGTGTGTGTGACATCTTTATCCATTCACCCCAATATATATGGGTCATTTAAGGCCGATGTTTTCTTATTGATTTTCTGTGTGGATGACCTATCCATTGATGTAAATGGGGTGTTGAAGTCCTATACTATTATTTATTGTTGTCCAGTTCCCTCTTTAGGTCTGTAAATATTTACTTTATATATTTTGGTGCTTCTAAGGTGGGTCAATATATTTTTGTAAGTGTTATACCTTCTTGCTGGATTGCCCTTTTATCATTACGTAATGCTCTTCTTTGTGTTCTGTTACGGTCTTTGTTTTGAAGTCTCTTTTTTCTGATGAGAGTGCGACTACACCAACTTTCTTTTTGTTTCTATGGCACATCTTTGTCTGTCCTTTCACATTTAGTCTGAGCGTGTCCTTGTTTCTGCGGTGAGTCTTTTATAGGCAGTGGATAGAAAGAGACTTTGTTTTTATCCATCCCACCACTCCATATCTTTTGGTTGGAGAATTTAGTCCATTTACATTAGGTAATTATGGATAGGTATGTCCTATTGCCACTTTGTTTTCTTCCTGGCTCTTTTTTGTAGTTGCTTCTCTGTTCCTTTTTTCTTTTTCTCTCTTCCCTTGTGGTGTGATACCTTTCTTTAGTGTTATGTTTGGATTCCCCTCTCATTTTATTTTATATATTTACCACAAGTTTTTTTTTTCCCCCTGTGGTTACCACGAGGGTCACATATAGCCCCGTATGTTTGTAACAGTCTGTTTCATGTTGCCAGTAACTTAAATGTGAACATATTTCAAAATGCTGTGTATTTATTTCTTTCCCCACATGTTTAATGTTTTTGATGTTACATTGACCTTTTTATTTTATAAATCCTTTTTTAAAAAGATTTTATTTATTTTTTGACAGAGAGACAGTGAGAGAGGGAACACAAGCAAGGGGAGTGCGAGAAGGAGAAGCAGGCTTCCCGCTGAGCAGGGATCGATGCACGGCTCGATCCCAGGACTCTGGGATCATGACCTAAGCTGAAGGCAGATACTTAACCAACTGAGCCACCCAGGTGCCCCTGTTTTATAAATCTTTTAACTAATTATTGTAGTTTCAGTTAATTTTACTATTTTTGTCCTCATACTAGCTTTATAAGTGATTTATCCACTACCTTTGCTGTACATATACTGAATATTACTTTTGCCATTAAGATTTTATTTTTATATATTTTCTTGTTAATTATGCCATTTCTTTTTAGTTTAAATAAGTCCCTTAAACATCTCTTATAAGGCCAGTTTAGTGGTAATCAACTCCTTTAGTTGCTTATTTGGAAAATTCTTAATCTCCCTATTAATTCTGAATGATAACCTTGCTGGGTAGAGTGTTCTTGGTTGGAAGTTTTTCTTTTTGTACTTTGGAAAGAAAGGCAGGTTGCAGTCAGCCAGCATTTCTTTCTCTTTTTTTTTTTAAAGATTTATTTATTTGGCGGGGGGGAGATGAGAGAGAGAGAAACCCAAGCAGGCTGAGCACGGGACCCAACACAGGACTCGAGCTCACAACCCTGAGACCATGACCTGAGCAGTAACCAAGAGTCGGACACTTAACTGACTGTGCCACTGAGGTGCCCCTCTTTCTGCACTTTGAATGTGTCATGCTACTCTCTTCTGGCCTGCAAAATTTGTGCTGAAAAATCTGCTGATAGCCTAATGGATACATTTCCCTGTACATAATAAATTGCTTTTCTTTTGCTGCTTTTTATATTCTCCATCTTCAACTTTTGACATTCAAATTATAGTGTATCTTGGTGTTGGTCTCTTTGAGGTTTTTTTTTTTTTTTTTGAAACTCCCTTTGCTTCCCAGACCTGGATGTGTGTTTTCTTCTCCAAGTTAGGAAAGTTTTCAGCCATTATTTCTTCAAATACGTTTTCTGCATCTTTCTCCTCTCCCTTAGAGTCCTCTTTAATTGAACATTATTCTGCTTGGTGTTGTCACATAAGTTTCTGAAGTTATCTTTAATCCTAAATTCATTTTTCTTTTTGCTGCTCTGTCTGAGTGAATTTCAGTGCTTTGTCTTCCACCTCACAGACCTTATCTTCTGTTTCATCCAATCTAATGTTGAACCCCTTTAGTGTACTTTTCAATTTAATTATTGTATTGTTCATCTCTGTCACTTCTGGTTGGTATTTTCTCATACTTCCTGTTTCTGGTGAAATTCTCACTGTGTTCATCCATTCTTCTCCCAAGTTCCATGGGCATCTTTATGACCAACAAATTGAATTCATTACATGTAGATTACTTATCTGCATATCATTAAGGTTTTTCTGAAGTTTTGTCTTATCTTATTTGGAATATATTTCTATTTCCTCATTTTGCTTAACTTTCTGCATTTCTATATATTTGGCAAAACAACTACTTCTTTTAGTGTTGAAAAGTTGCCATGTGTAGGAGATGAACTTTCTCGCTCACCCTTGTCCTAGTTCTTGGTTGTTGCCTAACCTTTGTGATTGTCTAAACAGTCTGGTTTATTTTTGATATGTCCGCATTGTTGAGGGTGTGCCAAGACCTGTCAATGTTCCAAGGAGAGGAATCTAGTTTAACACTTAGTTTTAGGGCTGATTGGAAGTCAGACTCTCAGGCAGAAGCTTTTAAAGTATGCAAATATATATAGTCCTGTGGGGTGACAATTGTAAACCCAGCTGGACTCCAGATTGGGAGATCGGGAGGTGTCCCTGGGTGACAGTTTCAAAAATCAGGGCTCCAGATAAGTGTATGAGCTCTTTTCTGGGAGATTTGGTAGAGCTGTAGTGAGGCCAAGGGAGTGCATAAGGATGGTTTCTCTCTGCTTACATTCCCTGGGAGCGCTTCTGTAGCCTCTAGATGTCTGGGAGACCTGAAGCTTGTCCCTCAGGCTGAAGCTCCAAGGTAAGTAAATAGGCCTTTTTCACAGGAAGACTGGGGTTGTGTTTCTGACTGCTGTCTGTGCAGTGCCCTGGAGGTATTGGCCTGCCAAGAAGTGTCTTTGCATTTGTTACAGTTCCTTGGAGCTCAGGAATGCCAGCCCCCTTGGCCACCAGAGCCAGGCAGACAGGGGGCATCCCCAATGTGATTTGAGCATGTCTACTGGCTTTAGCAGGGCAGCTGGTATGTATAGGGGTCAAGGGATGCTCTCTGGCTTCAGAAAGAAAACAGGAAAATGCCTTGACTGCATGTACTCCTGGATTTCAGCAATGCTGCAAGAGAGTGCCCTGTCCCAGGCCCCAGGTTGGGGGCAGGAAAATGCCCTGACTGTTCACACTAGCCTGCCCTGGCCAGGGAGTGAAGAATTGCTGCTACTACCTGCTCTCTCTAGCCCCAGCAAGGCAGTGGGCAGTGCTGTGACTGCTTGCCCCCACCCTTCTCAGTGAGGCAGCAGGAAGGTGCTGTGTCTTAGTGTGCCTACCTGTGCAAGCAGGATAGGTGGAAAGCACACAAATGGTGTCTACCAGAGCCTTTGTCTCCAGAGAAACCCCTGACTCTCCCCTGCTCCTCAGGCAGATACCCTCAGATGCACAAATGAATTTTCTTGCCATACTGTCTAGGCACTTTAAAAGTTGGTGCTTTTGGACAGGATCCCAGGGTGAGTGAGACCGAACATGAGCTCTTTAGAAGGACAATCTCAGTTTCTTATAGTACTTTGAATCCCTCATCCCTCTTGTTTTTCTAACAAGGCATCTTTGGGGAGCTCATCTCTCTGGTGCAGATCCCAAGGGTGGGACTGCACCAACCCCTTACTCTTCCAGAAGAAGCACCAGACTGGTGAAACCTCTCCCTATTGTGTGTTGGAGCTCTGGGAGTTGAGTATTTTGTGAAGACCACATCTCTGCCTCTCCTACCTGTCTCTATGAGGTTCTTTTATCCTTTGGTTGTCATCCAGATTTCAGATCTTTTTCACAGGGAAATGATCTATACATAGCTATAAATTGAATATGTCTATGGGAGGAGATGAGTTCAGGATTTTCCTTTGCCACCATCTTGAATCCCTTTCCAGAATACATTTATATAGTGTTTTACCAGACAAGATAGTCCATTTCCATACTACTTATTGAGCATCTAACAGGTGTATTATGTAATGGATTTTTCCTAAGGTAATTGCTCAAATCTATGAAATGATATTACTTTTACTCTTCTTGACCTGTTTTAACCTTTAAACCTCTCTGAGTCCTGAATGCATGTTGCATTTCTTTCTAAGATCCTGGGAGGTGTGCCCATTTTAAATCCTTTCTTTTCTTTCTTTCTTTCTTTCTTTCTTTCTTTCTTTCTTTCTTTCTTTCTTTCTTTCTTTCTTTCTTCTTTCTTTCTTTCTTTCTTTCTTTCTTTCTTTCTTTCTTTCTTTCTTTCTTTTCTTTTCTTTTCTTTTCTTTCTTTCCCATTGATATTTACTGTTATGCCTCAGCATGGGGGCTGATTGATGGGAATGTTGCATGAACATTCCCCCTGCTTGTTAACTACACTTTATGGGAGTAATGGGAGCTTTCTGATTTTGATAATTTACTATATTCTCCACTGATGACAAAGTAGGGAGTGAGTCTATTGCTGTAAGGCCAAAGAGCATGATTGATAGTATGGATATAAAA